TGTGTGTGTGTGTGTGTTGTTTTTTGGTAACATTGTCAAAGTCTTTGGCACAATCACTTTGTCAATTTTATGCACCCTGAATGCATAATGAATAAAAGTGACACTAAATGTTTTCATATTAGTGATTATACTGATTGAAGTGTTAAGTATAATATGACACAGTAACAGTTTTTAGTTTGTTTAGAGTTATAACCAAAATTAATGACTTGAGGTTGAAATGTCATTTTGATAAATTCAGTAAGAACTGGTTCTTAAGAAGAACCACTTGTTTGGAAGTGAAAGCTAGAATACACAACATGACTTTTGGCCTTATTTGCAGTCTGGAGGAGTCAACACGGTCAACATTAGTTGACAAAAATCAGTCTGCAGATATTGGGGAGTCATAGAAAATCACATAGTGGGCACCGACAGCTGATTCCATCTAGCTGAAGAATCAGACATATTTGATATTTTGAGCCAATTTTAGAACACATTTTCATTTGTCGTAAGTCTGCTAGGGACCTAGTACAATGTGTATTGATAGGATATGTGCCAAGTTATTGATCAAGTATTAAAAAAAAACATTGGGTCTCATTCACTAATAATTGCACGGATTATTTATTATTTGTACGTACAGGAGAACTTTTCACCAATATTTATGCGAAATTCACAATAAACCTTTTAATACAGCCCCAGATTATAGACTTGTCATTAGACAGCTGTACATATGCGTATATCTGTGTTGTTATTCAGAAAACCTCGCAGATCGAGCAATAGCAGCTCTTTCACTGTACATGAAACATATTATAATATATACATTTAATCTTAACTATACATAAAAATTATAATTCATCATTATACGATTATTATATAATTTATCTTTTGTGAAAACGTTTGACCCGATTTCACGCACCAATTTGTCAGTACACATGTGAATGAGATCTAGTACTCTAATTCTTGAAAAAGAGAGATTCACAGATGTATGTTATATTTAGGTTTTTAATGATTAGATTCATAAATACTTTTTCGCAGTTTTGTGTTGGTAGTCAATCTTTCTCCTATTGCAGTACCGTGTGGAATCAATGATGTTAAGGATTGCAAAACCAATGAATTACATCCCAGTGACTCCAAGCACACAGCAGCGTGCCCAGCAAAGAGCCCCACAGTGCATTCCACTCGTCATGGAGCCAGAGTCGCGTTTCTATAGCAACTCTGTTATTGTGTTGGATTTCCAGTCACTGTATCCATCCATCGTCATTGCCTACAATTACTGTTTCTCCACCTGCCTTGGACGTGTTGAGAATCTTGGAACGTAAGCATGCTTTTGGATTTAGAGTAAAACTACATTAGATCTAGAGTTGTAGCATATATTAATGCAGTATGTCTATATATCCACAGTATCTGTTTTGTGGTTCTTTAGTGTTTATCTCTTCCACTCTCTCACTCTCTCAGGTGTGATGAGTTCAGGTTTGGTTGTACATCTCTCAGAGTCCCTCCTGACCTCCTTTACCAGCTCAGAAATGACATCACCATTTCTCCCAGTGGTGTCACATTTGTTAAGGTAGTTCTAAGAATACACTGCCAATTAATCTCTTTAATTTAAATACCTACTTTTATGTGATCCTTAAATGGAATGTGATGAGCCATTTAATTTGGTTGTGAGTAGTTTAAATGGAATATTACTGTACTGTAGCTTGAATCCTTGCTGTGTACTGTATACTGTACTGCCTACTATTTGTGAAAAATAGCATGTGAAACAGGTTTCCAAAAGTGTAACTGTATCAGCTTCTCAAAAATTGTCACAGGTTTATGGATATCAACAAGAGCTCAATGACACAAACAGCCAACATTTCCTTATGACTTATTGCTGTTATAAAACAGTAGCCACAAGAATATGATAATTAACACCACGGTTCAATTAATAATTAAAATAATGTGCTAATATCATTGTTGATGTTTCTTCTGCTTTTGGTTACCAAGCAGCATGAAGGTCATTCTATGAACAGAAATTGATATAATGCAGTGATATAAACTTCAACAGATGTGCATTCACATTCGATTTGCCTTTTTTTTTTGTTGTTGCTTTGAACACATTTCATCCAGCCAGATTTTAGAGCAAAAACTGTCAATTTTACAATAATATCTTTCATACAATGCCTGTGTCCAAGTCCGCTCAGCTCAAAGTCTCTGTGTGTTCAGTCATCAGTGCGGAAGGGTGTCCTGCCAAGTATGCTGGAGGAGATCTTGAAGACGAGGATCATGGTGAAGCAGTCCATGAAGGCGTACAAACATGACAAAGCTCTATTACGCCTGCTGGATGCCAGGCAGCTTGGCCTTAAACTTATTGCTAATGTCACATTTGGTTACACTTCTGCCAACTTCTCAGGACGTATGCCCAGCGTTGAGGTACATACTCTAACTTTACATTTTAAATCAGTGGTTCTAAACGGAATGGTTGCAACCCAGAAATGAGCCGCATGAAATATTTGATCACAGGCAGAAAGAAAAAACAACTAACCATGTAACCAGTAATTGTTATGATGGCAAAATAAATAGCCTTACCGCCTTTTAAAAAGTTTTGATTTAAAATTTGCTTTTGGCCAGTAGGTTTTTGGCTGGTAAATTCAAGAAACTTTTACAGACTGAACACTAGTTAATAGTGAATAGTGTTCCCTAATCTAAAGTGTAGATGATTTTGGTTTTTGAATGCTTATGTATGATAAATAATTTTAGGTATACCCTTGATGTTTGACTGGAAGGGCCAGTCTTTCTAAATTGGTATGCAGCAGTGTTGTATGCACAGTTTGCTATTGACTAAATATATAATTTACTTTAAGTCTTTACTTTAAGACCCAGATTTTACATTGAACATCAAATGGTGACCTAATGCAGTTTGTGTGTATGATTACTATGTTGCCAAAGAAACCAGAGAACATTCTGTCTCTCTCCTCACACACCAGGTAGGTGACAGCATTGTGCACAAGGCCCGAGAGACTTTGGAGAGAGCCATAAAGATGGTCAATGACACAAAGAAGTGGGGAGCACGTGTTGTCTACGGAGATACAGACAGGTAGAGAAATAAAAACTGGATGAATTAGTTCATTTCAATGTAGATGTGATGTTGACCAAGCAGGTGTGTTCATTTATTTTATTAGTTAATTTCCTCCACTTTGACTCATTCAGTCTGATTTACAGACCTTTTTCTTACATGATAGGTAAGCATTATAATATTACTAGATGAATTAGCCAAGAATAGTGCTGTTGAGGCACTGCCTCCCTATGAAACTTTGTTCATTGTTGTGGTGGGCCAAATGCAGTTAAGTTTTAAAATTTATGCAGCCTTCTGATTGATTTTTATGAAATTCCTGCTCTGTCTGGTATGTGAGAGTGTTCCCTAAAAACCAGTGTCAAGTTAATATAACAGTGTTCATAAATAAATAGACACTATTAACATAAACATCAAAATGTTCTCATTGGCTGTTTTGTTGTGCAGTTGTTTTGTGTTCAGTGTGAAATTGCTTGTCAGTGGAAATTTGTTGTTTTGTGCCTGCTTAGTACACTGTTATACTGTCTCTGATACCTGTCCGTTTCTCTTTTTTAGTATGTTTGTGTTGTTGAAGGGAGCAACCAAGGAACAGGCATTTAAGATTGGTAATGAAATTGCAGAGGCTGTCACTGCTACCAACCCTAAACCTGTCAAATTGAAGTTTGAGAAGGTTTGTGAAGTGGTTTGTGTCTATAAGTGTACTCTGTTTTTGTTTTGAAGGGGAGCTCTTTTAAGCCATATGATTGCTGTATTCCGATTTTGTGACTGCGTTCTTGTGTGTTTGGGTAGGTGTACCTCCCATGCGTGTTACAGACAAAGAAGCGTTATGTTGGATACATGTATGAGAGCTTGGATCAGAAAAACCCAGTCTTTGACGCCAAAGGCATTGAAACTGTACGTCGTGATGGCTGCCCTGCTGTTGCCAAGGTAACTAGCATTCCAAAATTATTATTTCCTTTTTGCCCAATCACTTGATAAATCCTGCTCCACCTGTCATTCACATTGCAGTTGTAATGCAGAGTTTCTCAGCCAGGGGGCAGTTGAGGTTAATGAAGGAAATTCTATTATGTTAGATTCTGGAACGATCTCTGAAGCTGCTTTTTGAGTCACGTGACATCAGCCAGGTGAAGCAGTATGTGCAGCGGCAGTGTGCGAAGGTGCTAGAGGCCAAAGCCAGCATGCAGGACCTCATTTTTGCCAAAGAGTACCGTGGCAGCAGCTCGTATCGACCAGGGGCCTGTGTTCCTGCTCTGGAGCTCACCAGGTGAGTAAGTGTGTGTTTGAAAAGGTGGGTCAGTGCCAAGTATGTCATCTGAGATTAAAACTGAGATATTAAGAGAGATTTACAGGTTATGGAAGACAGTTATGGTACTTATGTTTATTATTATGGGAAGAAGTTGTGTTGTAATTGAGGTAAAGTGCGCATCTGTCATTTAGATTCTGAGCATTTCTACACTTTATTCAAGAGAAGGTAGAGTTTTCATCCAATAACTACACTGTATTATGTATGAGATTACAGCAGAATATTTAGATGAAATGCTCATTTTGGCACTGTTCGTTTACCTCTGTAATCTTTTTAACACTGTTGTCAGAGACATAGGTAGTGTGTGTTTTTTTTGCATTCCCCAGAAATGCGGTCAGAACTAGAGTTGATTTTGCCTTTGCCTACCAACACATAGGGAAAATATGTCTGTAACAAGCATTAATATGTAAACACAAGTGGAGAGCACAGCACACCTTGATGAGGTTAGCATCACTCGAGCCGGTTTTAAGTGCTCCAAGCAATAAGCAGAAACAAGTTTTCCATTGTTATCTTACTCAAATTGACAAAGCAATAATGAAAATTAATCAAAATCTTTCTTTGTCTTTATCATCCCTACTTAAGTGTGTTAAGTGAGAGGGGAAATCACATTGGCGTACTAAAAGTAGCATTTTTATTATTACATTCAGAAGTAATGTAGAATAGGGGTAAATACAATCTACCATTTAGAAACATTCTAAACAATGTAAACGTAGTACCCCTCATTGCTAAAAAAAATATTTCAAATGTAACATTATTCAGAACAAGAATGAAATTTTTTGTTTATAAAAAAGATATAAAAGCATATATGTTATTTTATTATATATTTATGGTTGTATTTATTAGAAAACAACATTTATTATAAATGCCAAGCCTAAATGAAGCTAAATGCTACCAGTGTGTAATGTGTTATGCAGGTAAACTTAACATACCTTACCTTGCCTTACAAGCAAAAACTGTGTTAAAGTTGAAAGCGAGGAGAGATAAATCCCATGAATAAAACATTTTGCACAATTTACTTGATGGGCATGTTGCAGGATATTTACAGAATTTGAAAAACATAAACAAATATATCATATAATTGATTTCTGTTATTTTGACAGGTAAAATATTTCTGATCTACAACGTTTTTCCACTTCACCACATTAAATTATGTGAGTATAGGGAAATGAGGAAATAAACATCTATTAAAAATAATTTGTTGCAAAAAAGAGTGGATGAGACTAGTGTTGGGGAGTCGACTCTAAATAAGTAGATTTCTTGACTCGGAATAGATCTGGAGTCGGTAGTTGTAGTTTATATTAATGCAATAAATAAATATACATTTTGTTTTCCATGGTTAACCTTTTTGTGTTCATAATCTTTAACCTTAAATCACTAAAACCTTACATAAAGAATAAACAAGTCAATGAGTGTACTTTTTTTTATTTTTTTTTATGTACTGTATTTATTTTAATATCTTTAACACTCCAGTTCAAGCAGATTTTTAAGACAAAGATCATGTGTGTTTAGCACCATCACCCGACCATTATAATGAGGGGGAATTTGTGAAAAATACCTTCTTCCTTATTTTATTTAATTCCAACCACGACTGTTTGTCGTGACTTTTCCTTTTGTGAAATTAGGTATCGCAACAGCTAGATAACGTTGATAGCTACTCATTTCAAGGTAACTTCAGCACTAAATTGGACTAATTTGGACAGTCACACTAAAAGTGTGTTGTTTTAATAAGGGGAATTTAAGGCAACGTGTCAGAGAAAAAATTAATAGTGTAATTGGAATTGAACACCCCTAGATGAGACACGGGGGGGATTTGGGAAAAGAAATGAGATTTCATGTGTATAATTAATTACTCATGGTCATGGAGTATTGTTAAAATCATGGATTGTTGAAATCATCAAATTTTGATATACTGTAATTCTGTAATTTAGAAATCTAATACATTATCGAGCCACCCAAATGACTGCTCAGCTTGAAAACATATATATCTGATGAATCTTATATATGATGGATTTGGTTGAGTAAAGTGCTTAGTTTACATGTGTGTTTATTCACTAATTTTATTGTTTTCAATATAAAACTTGGAATTATTTGTATGTATCAGTACTTTTTGAACATTTCCAGCACATAATAATAATACTGATAACCTTGATCATTTTGGTCACTGTAATTGTGTAATTGATTTCATCTCAACAGTACACAGCATAAATGAGTATATCCCCTCTGAACATAGATATATTTCTGTTTATCACTTTTAAAATTCATGGAAAGATGACAGTACTATATAATTTAAACATATACTTAATAAAAAGTATAGAAAATGCCACCCCATCTGTAAAATAAATAAATTAGGCATTTTTGCTTAAATGAAGGGTTGCAAAAAGGAATACACTTTTTTTTGTATATCCAACCATTAAATTCAACCATTGTGTAATGTTCTAGAATGTAGTATGTCCATAACTTAAAGAATGCTTCTCGGACTTTTCTTGGCATTGAGTTGTACAAGTTCAAGTTCGAATTGTCACATCTATCCTGTTTAACTCGTATAAGAGTCACTGTCATGTTGAAAATAACATAACACGGGGAACGAGGAGAGGGTAGCATCTTCTGTTCAGTAGGGGTTGCACGACTACTGATTTCCGATAGTTGATTTCTTATTTAAAAAATACTCGAGTTACTCGACTACTCGTGGTTCATGCTATTGTAAATGAAAAGGCATGAAATAGTTCTTATCAATAAACGCGTATTAATTCATAACCTATTGCAACAATTACATATGTAAATTGTCAAACCTTTATAATTATGGTTTATAAATTTATAATTATAAACATTACATATTTTAATTTTCATGTAACAGCCAGTATTTGTATCTGTATTTGTATCTGTAACAATCACACAATTATTCATATCTGCATTCGGATAAAACCAGGTGGAACGTCGTATTTACTTGATAAGAACATTATGACTATCTTTTTTTTTCATAGTTATCACTGAACAAGTATGCCGTGTTAAACTAAAATAATTATTCATTTCTAAAAATATATTTATCATGCAAGCAGAGAGATGTCATGACAAACGTTTAGTGATCATTTGAACACGAATACGATATTTGATGTGCACATTTTCATTACGCAGAACTCTTTAAGCGAGTCTTTTTTGAACTTCACTAAACAAATGTGCATGTGCCACGCAAACCAGCAAAAGATAAAGATGCAAACATGTAGGCCTAGTAGAAAAGGTATCTCTATCCAAGTTGATTATTAGCCTACTCTTGAGAGAGAGCTGGTTTGGTTTTTGAGAGACTGAGACGCGCAACGCGGCTGTTTGATTGGTGAGCGCGCTGTGCTTATTCCATTCATTCGTATCATATCGTAGCCTAAGGGTTATATCATTGCCTTTTATATATACAAATAATAGAACGTGTATGATGTATTATTATAGGTGATATTACTCTTGCCAAGCTCTGATTTCTGAGAGATGCACGGAGAGGCAACAGCAATGCGGTGTTTGATTTGTTACATAATAATCCAGGGAAATTTGCAGAAAATGACAGTGTGCGCTCTGTAGCTAACTAGTGCAGACATTTTTACTCAGTGATATCAGGTTTGCACATTTGAATATGTGTGTGTTTTTCCAGACAGAGCTCAGTTTATTGTCTGTATGCTGCAGGACTGCCTTACTGTACCTTAGGCTGCTGCCAGCAACACACCCATTAACAGATGCTGAAATTAGATCTGAGCCATAGTTGAGGGGGAATTCTGTCTTCTGTTAATATTGCTGCTGTTTATGTGTTCTGATTGCAGGCTGAATCTAAATGCTTTAAAATTACAGAAAAGTTGCTGTCCAGGATTTTTCTTAAAAATTTTTTTTTTTTTGCTTTTTCTTTTCTGTGTCTCTCAGGCGTATGATGGCGTATGATCGACGTTTAGAGCCACGCGTGGGTGAGCGTGTACCGTATGTTATTGTGTACGGGATGCCAGGAGTGCCGCTCATACAGCTGGTTAGACGTCCTGTAGAGGTACTGCAGGACCCCAGTCTGCGCCTCAATGCTACCTACTACATCACCAAGCAGATCTTGCCACCACTCACACGAATTTTCAACCTGATTGGAGTAGATGTGTTCAGCTGGTACCACGAGTTGCCGAGGGTTAGTCATTTTGTATTTTAGCATATGCCAAAATATACTGAACAAAATTATAAACGCAACACTTTTGTTTTTGCCCCCATTTTTCATGAGCTGAACTCAAAGATCTAAGACTTTTTCTATGTACACAAAAGGCCTATTTCTCTCAAATATTGTTCACAAATCTTGTCTAAATCTGTGTTAGTGAGCACTTCTCCTTTGCCGAGATAATCCATCCACCTCACAGGTGTGGCATATCAAGATGCTGATTAGACAGCATGATTATTGCACAAGGCAACAGCAATGCGGTGTTTGATTTGCGCTCTTTTCATTCATAAAGTTTACATTCATTCACTTCACACTCTATTGCGTGATTTTAGAGGTCTGTGTATAATATTGCGCTGATCCCCTGGCTCAACTGTCTAGCAAACACCAGACTGTGCCAGCCCCAGCCGAATATTATATATTCAGCAGAATTATTCCTTGTCCGTTATTCGTTTTTGAAGCCATTATCCGTGCCATTCCGAATAAGGTATTCGGCTTCGGGCACACCCCTAATTATTACATTACATATTTTAATTTGACATGCAACATAGATAAAGTCATAGAAAGTAACAGCTACACGCAATATTGTAATCCTAAAATTCACGTCGTACTTGCAAACTCTGTGCATGCATTATGGTTAATGCATGCTTGAGTAGTCGATTGTTTCCGACAGCGCAGACTAGTGGTTGAAGTAGTCGACTACTCGACAAGTCTATGCAAGCCCAACTGTTCAGTTACACATTTAGGTTGGTATGAGTGTCTTTTACAGATTGAGTAATTGAGCTGATTTGTGCCAAAATGCGACAAGCCTTATTATTCTTCACTAAAATTTAAGCTATACAAAAACATTAACATTTTGTTAAATGATTAAATAAACAGAGCAGTTCATTGGTTCACCCATGATTCCTACTTCAGTTTTCGGTTTTACAGTGCTTTATTGGAATGACCAACATTTTTACATTTGTATTGCCAAAGCATATAAGCATTTGCAGCATTGCAGTAGAACCTAGCTCCTTAGTAGCTCAGTAGCTCCTTTCGTAGCCTTCACTAGAATTCTATTGGCCTGTGCTGTAGTCACCCTGTATAGGCAGGAAAAGCCACCGAGAAAGTCAAATGCATTGTGTCACAATGACAGCACAAATCAAATGAATACCTGCCTTTAATCACGTTCATTTGCTCTTACAATAGTCATCTGCAAAATGAATTTCAGGCTCAGTAAAATATTTTTGAGTTCAGCTCATGAAAAATGGGGGCAAAAACAAAAGTGTTGCGTTTATAATTTTGTTCAGTGTATAAACGATTAAGCTTGAAATTGAAACATCATTCAACTTAAATGAGGGTATCTACAACTAGTTCTTGATCTTTCGTTTCTGAATTATACTAGCTAGTATTGATATAAAGGCACCATCTGGTGGTAGGTAGGACTGCAAATGTGTAATGTTTTACATATTAAAATACTTTAACCTGTCCCAGTTTCATATGCAGAGATAACTGTAAGTAAACCAGTAATAGGTTAACTCTCCTGAAGAGTAAAAACCCTTGTTTTCTGGTTCTTAAATATTGCTTGAGCCAATGTTGCTCTGTTGAGCTGGTCTGGATGCTCAAACAGAATGGCATGAATTTTGCATTCGGATATTCAGACGAGTTCCCCTTCCAGGTGTAATGTCTGTGCCCTGTTGATTTTTTAAAAATAATGACTGATTTCCCAAATACTGCAGTTTGCTAAGGACAAACAGGTAGCGTCACACCAAACAAATGCCATTTGTTTGAGCCATTATTGCTGTGTCAGGCTGGTAACAATATTCTAACTAATAGAGTGCAGAGAAGAACCACAGTGTTTGTGCAATGTATTTATTTGTTGGGAATGAAATTCAATCATATAGTTAACTCGGCATATACAAATTGGAGAAGGTATTTTAACATTAAAAAAACTGTATGCTTTACCTTTTAAAAAGCACAGTTAAATGAAAAGAAATTTCCAGTGAAAGTCTGTGGTGTTATTCACTGCATAGGTACAGAAGGCGTGGAGCTCTGTGAATGGAGCCGGGGAGGAGGGCACAAGAAAAGGCACCATCTCTCAGTACTTTACAACACTGCATTGCCCGGTTTGTGATGAGCTGACACAGCTAGGAGTGTGTGAAGGTTGTCGGGCTGAACCCCAACGTGTTGCTGTCCACCTACACCAAGACTTGCGGCTTTGGGAAAGCCAGCAAGACCAGCTCCTAAAGGTAAGAGGTCATGTTGTCTGAGTCTTAGAAGGCCATAAAATGCCATAGTTTGTTCAATGATCATTTGATTCCATTATTCCAATACATTCTTCGTAGCGACCCATGTATGTGTTGCTTCAAGAAAGCAAACATACATTTGTGTTATTCTTTTTTTATATTAATTTAGTCATTCATTCATTTATACTGACTATTAATCATTTTATTACATTTTATCATATAATCATTTATAATACATTTAAACAGATTCTTTCATTCATTGGTCATTAAATTATAATATTTTATTTTTCCATTGTTTCCAAAGTCTGAGCATTGAAACATGCAAATGAGATTATTCAATACTGTTAATGTCAATACTCTAATGTCTGTTAATAACTTTGCAAATTTTGTAAATCATTATTACTTTGTCTCCAGGGGCCTGTTCTTCGTATGTGGATTACTTAGTTAGCTTTATTTTATTGTTGACAATTTGACATGATCCAGGATAGTTACGTTTTTTGAAGCTCATCCTGGAGTTGCTGTCATGGCAACAACTGAGCTCAAACCTAGGGTGTGTTTCCCAAAACCATCATTAGCTAACTATATGGTCGTTAGTTCCATTGAACCCTATTAGTAACGACGGAACTTGTGACCATAGTTGCTTTTGGGAAATGCACACCTGCTCAGGAGCAAACTTATTTCATGTAAACAGGGTTAGATTGTATGATTTTAAGTGAAGGTGATACTGAAAGTCTGTCCCAGTCACTGCTATTTTCTTACAAGTGTACCATATTATTAAACCAGGAAAAATAATATTAAAGTTTTAAATGATTTTGAAAATAATTAAAATTATGTGTAATCTATAATAGTAGAGAAATGTATGAGAGATTCATTAAGGAATAATTACCTTATAGTTTTATTGCAGTCATACACCAATTACGTAGTTGGTCTCAGCCATGCATTAATTTGAACGGTGTGCATGTGGCTTTGATGCATCACAGGAGATGCAGGCCATTTCTCAAATCTCAAAATGCTTTTATGATGCACAATTAATTTAAACACAGTCAGTTATGTCTTAAGATGGGTCTTATAGATTAAGAAACTTTAATTAATGCTGTCACGTATAACATCCACTTCAAAATTACATGAATTGCTAATTACAATAATCTTGAGATTAAAGGGTTAGTTCACCCTTTCAAAAATGAAAATTAGGCTGTGTTTTACTCACCGCCGAGGCATCCTAGGTGTATATGACTTTCTTCTTTCAGACGAATCCAGTCGGAGTTATATAAAAAATTGTGCTGGCTATTCCAAACTCTATCATTGCAGTCAGGGGGTGTTGCAGTGCTTCAGTCCAAAAGAAGTGAAATAAAAAGCACCCATCCATAAAAAAAAGTGTCTCACACGGCTCCGGGGGGTGAACAAAGGCCTCCTGTAGCAAATCGATGCGTTTTGTAAGAAAAATATCCATATTCAAAACATAATAATCACTTTAATCTAGCTTGCGCCAACAGTCCTACAAGGAAGCAGCTCCGGGGGGATGACGTATAAGGTCAGTGCAGCAAATGCGCCGGTGAGTCTCGTGAAAACCAACGTTTGTTAACAGGAGCAAAGGAAGCAAAGTTTCCTTACTTTAGCAAAGGAAAACCAGTCTCCTCTTGGCTTATATCGCAATCCTCTGACATTCTTCTTTACAAATCCTCGTTTTGTACTTCTAATTAGTGACCGTTGTTTTGTTTTGATCTCTCTGCTGAGATCACCTTTCCGCGTTCGTCACTTCTGAGCAGCGCATGCGCAACTTTGGAATAGCCAGGACAATTTTTAATATAACTCAGACTGGATTCGTCTGAAAGAAGAAAGTCATATACACCTAGGATGCCTTGGGGGTGAGTAAAAAACAGCCTAATTTTCATTTTTGGGTTAACTAACCCCTTTAAAAAATGCAAAGCCTGTACGAATACTAGAAATGGTGAAAAATAATTGGGAATCATTTAAAAAAAAATGATTACACATTTTATTTATTATAACTTATGTTATTTTGCCTGCCTGACTGTTTCCTTGATCTTTATTAAATGATGTGATTACGTTGCTGTCTTGCCTCCAGCCAAGTACTGCTTTGTTGATTATGGTTTCAAGAATCTATATATCTGCCCTTTCCGATTAACATGTCAACACCGAGTAATCTCAGACAACGTAATCCAGATATTTTAGTCAAATGCACTAACTTGTTTGAAGAACCAAATTACCCAAAAATCAGTTATCAGGATTAAAAGATCTGGTATCAGTCAAATCATCTCAGGTTTAAGCGAGGTACGAAGAATGACCCCCTGCTTTTTTCCCCTCTTCCAGCTTTCTCAGTCAATTTATTGGCTGATAGAATACTGTTTAATACCCAAAACTCATTAACAGTGAGTCTTGTATGGTACCCAGAACTGTATTAACAACTATGCTGACTAGTTGTTCATACTAGAAAAAAACAGATATTTTCTGACAGGATCTGGTGCCCGGGTCTAGATCTAATAATTCAGGTGTAGAGATTTAATCTAAGTGTTTTTGTTGTTTTTTCTTCACTTTTTCAAACATGTTTTATGTGAAGAAACTTAAGCTGCAATGGGAACCAGATTTGGGCCCTTTAGTCAAAAGTCTGGCTACATGAGAGACTAGAGTTCCAATGTTTCATGTTTGTCATATGTCAGTCTTTTATGTTCTACTGTTGTGATTTGATTGACAGGTATGTAGAAGTTGCAGTGGGAGTGCAGAGCGTCAGGTGCCATGTGTCTCATTGGACTGCCCTATACTCTACAAATTATCTCGCGTTAATCGGAATCTTTCCCGAGGACCATATCTTCGCCAGCTGCTGGAGCAGTTCTGATAGTCCAGCAGTCTGTCCACCTTTCATTTTACTCTGGTGCTAAACACTGTGCCATTCAGCACAATTTTGTGTATAATAGTTTTAAAAGGTGCTTTTTTCTGTGCCCTTGGAGAGTTTCCATCTTATACTGTTTGAGTTTGTGTGGTACTGCAGTGCAGTGGGACTAAAGAGGCCTTAAATACAGAAGAGGAAGATGATTTTGATGCACTGTGTTTGAATTTGCTTGGTAGTTGTCTTTAGTGTTCATTAAATGGTTACATTTCTGCAGATTGACAGGTCAGACATTTACAGAATAATCCTCTCTAAACTGAACCCTGTGTGCTGTAGCAATCTGTAAATGAGGGCGATTCAGTTCTAACTGCAATTCTTGTCTGTTGTAAATAAACCTTGATTATGATTATCCAAAATTCTGTCTATGAACACTGATTTAAAAAAAAAATCTAAAAAATTTTTCACATGTATGTTCTGGGAAGTTTTATGTCTGTCCATTCTCTACAGAGGCAAGTCTGAGGACAAGTAAGTCAATATCAGCCTTATCAAACATATTGCAGAAGTCTATGTTAAGTATATATTGTCTGTGTGCATAATTGTTCTTTTAAAATACTTTTCTAATGCTCTCTCTACTTTAAACCAGACATTGTTACCGACCTATGCTACCTACCAGAGCTACATAACCTGTTTTTGTAAACCTGTAAAAAATGTTAAGGTGCTTTGTTTTCTAAAGAACATTTGTGGGTGGAGATTTGATATTGATATAATAAAATTCAGTGTATTTAACAAATGTCTGTTTCAGTTAAAATGGGCCCTTTGGTTTTTACATCATTTTTGGGTATATACTGCAAGCTTTACAGATCGTTATTGGAAAGGGTTTAAACAATGTTTTTCATCCTTGTTCAATGACCCATAAGCAATTATTGACACTAACAATTGACAGGCGATATGAAAATAAAGTCAGTTATAATTATAACTTGGGACAGTAATGAGACATTTCTACTGACTTTGAAAAACACTAAAAAGGATGCCTAGTGTTCCTGCAGTTCAATGTGAGAGGACTTTGTTTCCTGAGTTTATTAACAGTAAAAAAACAAAATGTGCAAAAATTGTGGAAACTGGCAGCTGCTGGCTCTAATCACGGGCCATGTCCAAACCCTCACTGTAGAACATATTTGATATTTACAGTCATGTTGAGTGAGACCTCAAACAAATAAGATCAAGTCATGATAAACAGGGCTACCCGATGTGAGCAATGGAAACGACTGTCACTTGAGGCTTGTCAGGACAAAACCAATTTACACACAAGTCACATCTGGTTAGTATAAGACTTTGAGGGGGGGGAAATCACAAAATTTGAACCTTGATGTCAATGTTGTTTAGTGTTAATATTTATTAATTAACAATCAAGTATGATTTGAAAAATGAAAATAAATATTTTGTAAGCATAAAAGGTAAGGACTTTCAACAAAGACTTCATCATCAAAATATTAATATAACTTTATACATTCATTCTGACCATACAATACAAAAAATGCTTGTCTTAATTTCACAGACTAGTGGACTAATTGTGCTGGTTACCATTGTACAAAATACTTTAATTCATGGTCAATTAATCAACAATAACAAATGAGAGAAGAGATATAGTCCGACATCCTAATATACATTTGTGTCCAATAATTAGGCTGATCTATAATAACAGGACAATTCTCAGTAAAATGTACAATATGCTAATTACACTTCTTTAGGATAATCCTGTACAAGTGGTGAGCAGGAACAGGCTTGGTGTGGGTTATGTTGCTTTATGTTATGAACGTCAAACATGCAGTTGGCATTTAGAAAGTACCAAATCAACTGGCTTAGTGTGATCTTTTCACCCAAGAAAAAAAAAAAAGCAGCCACTTCTCAGTTCCTGGCTAAGAGCAAAAAGTCTGAGACTTCTTTGATGAAGTGCAACATATTAGTCTTTCTTCTCCCTGTTGAGGGACATTAACAGTTTGCGTCTGGGAGAGTCTGTGGAAAAGGGCAGTGTGTGAGACAGAGAGGCCAGGGTTGTGGGGTCTCTTGAGGGTGCTGGCAATGGGGCGGTCACTGATTGGGCAGCAAGTGCACTGGCTGCAACATCAGGTGGCACTGAGGCTTTAGAAGGAGAGCTCAATAGGCTGGCATCGTCCATCTCGATCACCTCAAAGTCGGCATCATTCCAATGGTCAGCTTCACTTTCATTTTCCTGCTCCTCTTCTTCCTCCGCATTGTCCAGCAGTGCTTGCCGGTACTCACTATCAGCATCCTGGGTGCGTTTCCCTGGTGTTTTCCGCAAGGTGGCGTCCCCTCCTGGTGATGCTAATTTGTACAAGACAGGGAACAAGATAGAAGTGAAGGTGGATGTGCCAAGTGCCAGGTACATCAGCAATGGCTGATTCTGCACCTGCCCCAGTAAGAAGCCCAAGAGAGCTGGCAGAACCATTTCTCCAAGAGCTGCACCCACCACAAACACCGCAGCTGACCTCCCTGTCACAGTCGTGTACTGCTCAACCCATGAAATTCCACTAGGAAACGTGGTAGACATAGAGACACCATATATAGCAGTGCACGCCCAGAGCATAGGGGTATTTCGGCTAAAAAGACAAAGCAGGAGCGCGGAAACTGTGGTGCCCACTAGACTCAGTAGGATCAGGGTGCCTGGGCGAAGACAAGCTGCAAAGAATATGGCTAGACCACGACCAGCCGCGAACGTTCCCCAGAAGAGTGAATTCAGTCCTGCTGCCTGAACCGGGTTCATTTTGACATAGTCCTTGCCATAGGTAAATATAAAGGAACCGTACGCCACCTCACTTCCAACATAGAAAAAAAAGAACAAGGACAGCAGGAGTACAAGTATGTTATGGTGTTTGGAGAACAGCTGCTTTCCTGAAGGTGTTTTTGCCCTATTCGAATTGGGGGAACTGCAGAAGTACAGGAAAAAAAAGATGAGCGACACCAATAAAACAACAGCACCAATCACGATGTAGGCCCACATGGAACATCCATGTGGGCCATCCAGAGTGGTGCTCTTTAGATGGGAAGCTGGCAAGATGGCATTGAAGGTCTTGGAGGCATGGCCAGACGTGTAAGTGGAGACATTGTCGGAACTGTGGCCAAAGAGCAGCTTGGCTATGATTGGAGAGGCAAAGGCTCCAGCAGCAAAGCTAAAGTGCAGAGCCTGCAGGTGAGGTCCAGCTTGTTCTCCCCATGTATTCAGTATGAGAACATTACCGCCTTATATATATGTGTGTGAGCGTTAACAATGCTTAATGCTACTAAAATTCATACTGTTAATTGCTTAATGCTGGAATTAAATTACAACACCTTGTCTACACCAGGCACTTATCTTACCTGTATCTAAAACTCCCATTGACACCCCCACACCGGACATCAAAACAGTGAGCAGCCAAGCCTTTTTACAGAAAGGAGTACCAGACATCCCAAATGCTGTGATTAACAATGAGAAGCCTGCAGATATAAATCAACTGTGAGTAACGAATCACTAATCATACTTTATAATATCACACATGTATCCAAAAAAATAAACACACAAATAAAAAATAAAGGGGACAACATACTCCCAACGTACTACTGACAAATGTCCTGTAACTGCAATGACTTTTAAAGTTTCTAAAACATTACAGCTAAATAAATCTACAAATCTGTGGGATCCTAACACAAAACATAAACCATGAGACATGGCTCCTCTGATAACAGTCACTAAACTCATACAAGATAGCTTCTAGAAGAGTAACAGGGATGTTTTATTGGGCAATTTAATCTGATTTTCTGTAGCCTTCTGTTTATTTTGCCCTTTCTGTGCTTTTTCTTTCACTTTTTGATTCATCTAAAGAAATAGTTTACCCCAAAATAAAGGTTAATCAGCTTAATCAGGTGATAGTGCAAGGACTGCAGATTCTCCAAACCTGCAACCTTTGCATTATGAGTCCATATGGTTAACTCTTTGACCAACTCCTATAATCAGTTATAACACACTTTCATAAGTAAATTATTTACAAAAGTTAAATATTAAATGGCTTTCAATTAACACAAAGTCCTTTTCTTTGTGGAGTCTATGGGCCTTACCCAAAAGCAGATGGGGATTCACACAGTCAAACAGGATCCCTCCTAACAGGGAACCTCCAATATATCCAGATGAACGACCCACAAATATATAGGATAAAGTACTGATGTTCTTGTTGACATTGACAGCCAGGTCTTCAAAGGTAGGGCCCAATACAGAGATGGCCATTCCCTAAAAATATACCATATAAACAAATACATAAATATAAAAATATACGATAAATGTGCACATTCTAACAGGTGCACATTAAAAAACAGAGGTACAGTCTTCACATTAGATGGTACTTCTATATTTATATACCACAGCATTTGCATGGTACTCCAAGATACTTCAAAAAATACTTTAATATTATAAATAATATGGTATTTAAAAAATAAATAAAAGGTACTTTTAAGCGAATGCACAGAATCGGTTCATAAATCATGACTCCTGAGGTGATTAGACCTACAATTGATATAAATAGATCTATGAAGTTAGTTCTTGACATTTAAAGGTAAATAATGAGCTTCAGGAGAGACATTTCTGCAATTTTTCTACTAATCCCACACTTTGACATTGTGGTATGTGTAGTACTGCATTACTAAACTAAACTCAGCCTGAGCTAATATCAGCCACCCTACTGTGTGCATGGTGTTGTCTGCATAGTACCATGCTAATACCGCGGTAATCAAGTACATTGCACATACTATGTTACATACTCCATAGCGCATATTGTAACCAAGCAGTATCATGTCAAAATATCATAGTATTACCCTGAATTCATAGTACCCAGGCCAATATTAACCTGTCAGCCCTGTTACACCACTAACTTGTCTGACATCTTCCCTTATGCAAATAATCCTGTTTCACGAGGATACTGCGGCAAAGGCTCCAGCAGCAAAGCTAAAGTGCAGAGCCTGCAGGTGAGGTCCAGCTTGTTCTCCCCATGTATTCAGTATGAGAACATTACCGCCTGTTGACAACCAGAAACTCAATTACCATAGCACCTTTTAAGGTTTTTATATCTTCAGGAGAGACATTTCTGCAATTTTTCTACTAATCCCACACTTTGACATTGTGGTATGTGTAGTACTGCATTACTAAACTAAACTCAGCCTGAGCTAATATCAGCCACCCTACTGTGTGCATGGTGTTGTCTGCATAGTACCATGCTAATACCGCGGTAATCAAGTACATTGCACATACTATGTTACATACTCCATAGCGCATATTGTAACCAAGCAGTATCATGTCAAAATATCATAGTATTACCCTGAATTCATAGTACCCAGGCCAATATTAACCTGTCAGCCCTGTTACACCACTAACTTGTCTGACATCTTCCCTTATGCAAATAATCCTGTTTCACGAGGATACTGCAAGGCGACCAGGAAATTACGTTACCATAACAATGTTTTTTTTTTTAGCATATTTTCAGTTGTCCCTTTTTGATACAGACACAGAACAATACCTACATAGATGAAATAACAAGGGATAGGATTTTAAGGCTGCAAAGCACAGGTTTTAGGTTTTCATATGAAGGTCTTCTGTTTTACGTTACAACAATTAAAACCGAACATGCATAGACCTACCAGACCGAGAAAAGACGCGCAAAGCGCTAGGCTGACTAGCCATCGCCCGCATGCCCCAGTATTACCAACTACATCAACCTGATCAGTCCCTGGCTTCAGTACCCCTTTGCCTCCCTTCAGAGCGCTTTTCAGTCCCTTCTTCGCGTCTTTACGTTTGTCGAAAAGCGTATCCTCTTCCTGCTCGTCGTGGTCAATGCCCTCTTCCATCTTAGCGAAACGAACGTGTTTTTTCTTCGGCGCTGCTTCAGCGGAGGGCATGGCAGCACGACTGACGCACTGTTGTGTACGGAAAAGCTGTCAACGCTTTCGTTGGTTTATGGCCGACCTAAAATGACCCACATTTGACCTATTCTTGCCTATCAACGTATTTTATTTATGGTTTTATAAAAAAAAAACAGTAAAACCAAACAACGTCGATCTTAAGTAAAGCAGAAATATCGCGTGAATATACACTGTAAACTCCAGGTACTAGTTATAAAGCTTGAGGTTCAAAACTTCCGTATAGTAGGTGCGCATGCGCACGCTCACAAACCAACCATTCTTCTGCATGCGGCTTGCAAACCCCCTTGCGTGCATATTGCCATCTCTCGCGCTGGAGTGTGGATAGACTTGAAAACTCTCTTTCTCTCTAGGTCAGTTTTATTTATTTATTTATATGTATTTATTTATACATTTTTATTTATTTATTTATTGAATGCTTAGAAAACAACAACAGCAACCATTCTCATAACAATACAACAACAGACCAGGCTCCTTAACAAGTCTTTTAGTCCAGACTGAATGCCAAGCCCTTTGCTGCATAATGCTGCAAGCAAGGGTGTATGGATTACAGTTTTCTCAATTGCTTTGGCACAATTCTAAAATTAGTTTTCTGCTTTTTAACGATAAGTTAAAGTAAAGATGTCTGAACAATTAGTTTCTTGTTTACATCAGATTTGAGTTTCTTACTGATTCAAGCTAAAAAGAAATAGGCCTATATGTTTTGGCACATGTGCAAAAGAGTAAGTACAATTGTCTACAGTTTGCACAGTAACTAAATGCACATGGTTTGTTGATCAAAACTGATGAGCTGATTCTCAGTGAAACTGTCAAACTCTTCACTACTTCTAAACATCCTTTCATTGTGTGAGCCATCACATGCAAAATTATCCATTCAATTATCAAAATCTGTCTGATGCATGTACTGTATATTCCATACATATCTGACATGGAATGTTTGTGATGTCTGCTAAGTTAGTAAATAGCCTGCCTGTCATTGTAATTAAATAATCAACCAGACAGATTTTGAATGGAGTTTGCCCAGCACTGTCACTACCATTTTTGAACAAGAAGCAACGTCACAACCCTTTATACATCCATCATTTATCTCTAGAAATGTATTACATGCAAACTGAAAATTCACAGTTGCTTATCGTGGAAGAGCGATAGGAAGATATGTAAGAATGTGTGGTCGTCATTGTGTTAGTGGAAGACATAATAGTATGTGTACAAACGAACGAATGAAGTGACTGAGAAAATATCTCTATAATAGATAACTTAAGACAAACTTGAGAAAGCCTAGCCTGAAAGTTTTAAGTAGTTAAAGCAGTTGGGGTTGTGAGCTCTGTGGACCCATGAATCATTGAAGTCATGAATCATTTAGCAATTAAACCAGTGTCTACTATGGTTTTTCTTGGATCTTGGATCAGTTTTGTAAATTTGTAGACATTTTTAATGAGACATTTGTGTAAGGAAGAGTAGTTCATTGTCTCTTATTAGCCTGTTTAGACAAACCCTATATAAAACAAGCAAAACAAGCCCTGTAGATTATTAAAAGAACACATACTATACAGACACTTAATATGTAATGGTATTTCATGATTTGTTAATTAAATTTAATATATTATACTTCCAATAAAACATTTGCAAAAGGTTTGTAAAAGCTGTTTTATGCATGTTTTGGCCAGAGTTTGTTGCATTTACAAAGTTTTGACCAGCAGGCGTCACCAGCATGTGTTGTTTCAAAAGCTTTGAAACAGTGATTCGTTTTGTGAAGCAATTGGTTCAATCAATTCGTTTTGAAAAGGTTAATTTCTTCCCTCACTATTTTGCAAACTAGAACGCATGCTGTCATACCACAAAAGACTATCATCGCATTACTGCATTGCAAATCACTGCATGATTTCGTGGTTAACTTTTTTTTTTAAACCTCACCATTGTTTTATTTGGAAAAATCAAATTATAATTTACAGAAATAAATCTATATATACAGTGGGTACGGAAAGTATTCAGCTGTATATATTTTGCTGCTGAGGTGAGGAGCGGGACATTTAGATGCGCACTAGAGGCGGTTTAGCCAATCACAACACACTGGGCTAGCTAACCAATCAGAGCCCATCGCCTATTTCTGAGGGAGGGGCTTCATAAAAGAAGGAAATGATCAGGGTGTTTCTGAGAGAAGGGACAGAGAGGTGTGGAATAAAGGTAAATTATGTGAAATATAATGCGTTTTTTTTAAAACAAAGCATTAACACATGTTAGACTGCACCCCATAAACACAATCAAGCCTAGAAAAAAAACAGTGAACCACCCCTTTAACCTCTCTGTTCCAGACCCCAGTAAACGAACACATACACTGGACAGGCATGACAGAATGCTTTCAGCACAATCAAACTCGATGCATCACTGAACACTAACTCAATGCATTATCAAACAACACTTGTGTGAGAACACAACATTTCCCCCCCTCCTATAGGATTTCAAACATTAAATGTTGACACAAAATCCTGTAAGTGCCCTGGGCGAGAACGAATGTGGACAGGCTGTGGAGAAACACGGGAATGAGGCTGGGCAGCCTGTGATGGGCAGGCACACATCTCAGCTGGCAGGTTGATAGGCATGTCTGGAGCCTGTGCAGGAGCTATCTGAGGTGTCAGCAGAAGCGCTGGGGGGTCCTGCCAAGCTGGGGGTGTGGCTTGAGGTGTGACGCCTTTTGTATGTGCCGGGGGAGGCACTTTGCGGAGACGGCTTGCGTGCCACCATGTGCCATCGCTGAGCAAGAAGGTGGCTAGGCCCAGCTGATGAGTAACTTGGAGAGGGGCAGAACAATATGAAGTGAGTTTATTGTCTCTGTGGGGCCTGCGAACCCTGACCCAATCTGCGGCCTTTATGTCAGGGACCTTAACATGTGCTGATAGATCGAATTTCTGCTTCATCCTCCTCTGCTGGCGGGTGACAGAGGCCCTGACACTCAGTAGTGGTCCCTGAGGAAGTGCAGGGCTGAGCCTGTCGAGGGGAAGGAGCTCATGGCCAAGCATGAGGAAAGCTGGAAAGACCCCCGTCGTAGAGTGTTGGGTGGTCCTGTAGTGCAGCAGTGTGTGATGGATGGCCCGTGAGAAGGTCGTGAGAATGCAGTGACTGATGGAAGCATTCGATGCCACCATTAGCTTGGGGGTGAAAGTATGCCGTGCAGATGTGATGAATACCTTTGTTTTTGAGGTATGTTGTGAACTCAGCTGCGGGCCATTGTCAGTAGTGAGTGTTTGGAAGGCCACAGCGGGAAAACAGAGAGTCCAGGAAGTTAATTATGACCTGAGAGGTCACAGAGCCGGTGGCAATGAGCTCAGGCCATTTCGAATGCAGGTCATAGACAACCACTAGGAAGCATTGGAGATGAAGAACTCCCTGTATCTCACCACATATGTCCAGCTGCAGGTGGTCCCAGGGCTGTGATGGCCAAGCAAAAGGTTGTAAAGGTGGGGGGGCCTGGTGACAAGTATACCACTCAAGAGACAGGCAGCACAGTCTTTCACCAGGGCCTCGATGTCTTTATCTATCCCTGGCCACCAAACCCGGTCTCTGCAGCGCTGCTTCAACTTCACAATACCCAGGTGGCCCTCGTGAGCCATTGCCAAGACACGTGCACGTAGGGTGCTGGGGATGACTGTGCATGCCACACAGGTGTCGTTCCAGCAGACAGCTCCTGCTTTATTCTGGAAAATGCTGCCAGTCCCTCTGGTACCTCCTGAGGCCAGCCATTCAAGTCAAGTCAAGTCACCTTTATTTATATAGTGCTTTTAACAATACACATTGTGTAAAAGCAACTGTACAGCATTAATTAGGAAAATAGTGTGTCAATAATGCAAAATGACATTAGTAAACACTCATTTTTCAGTTAAAGGCAGTTCATCATTGAATTCAGTGATGTCGTCATCCAGCTCAGTTCAGTTTAAATAGTATCTGTGCAATCAAGTCAACGATATCGCTGGAAATTAAGTGTCATCATTGTCTCTGCCCGGGGTGAACTTCAGGTCAAAGTTATAATGGCGAAGACGGTCGGACCAGCGGTGTAGCCTCAGTGGCCTGTGGCCTGTCCCAGATGTGGAAAGTAGTGCAGTCAGGGCCTGGTGATCTGTCCTTAGGGTGAAAGCACGGCCATAGAGATACAAGTGCCACCTCTCGCAGGCCCAGATGCAGGCTAATGCTTCACGTTCCCCCACTGAGTACCGCTGCTCTGTTTGATTGAGGGCCCGTGACGCAAAGGCGATAGGCTTCTCAATGCCCTGCTGGGTCTGTGACAGCAGTGCTCCTATGGCTGTAGCGATGCATCGCAGGTCATCCAGGTGGGGGTGGAGATATCGAAGTGAGCCAATACTGGGGCTGTGGTGAGCTGCACCTTGAGCACATGCACAGCATCAGAGCATGCCTGTGACCACACCCATGGCTCATCCTTACGCAGCAGTCGCCGTAGTGGGGCAGTGGTAGCAGAACTTCAGGTAGTAGCCCATCATGCCCAAAAAGGAGTCGACCTGCGCAGATGAGCTGGGTTTGGGAATTGCCAGTATGGCATCTACATTTGATTGAAGGGGTGTGACGCCATCTGCCGACAGCCGGAAACCCACATATTCAATGGTCGGTGCAGAGAAAACACATTTTTCAGCATTGAGGGTTAGTTTGTGTTCAGCTAGAGCTGCAAAGACTCTGCTGAGGCATTCATCGTGACTCTCGGGGGTGGGCCCATGGATAACAACATCATCCAGGTAAATGGCCACCCCCGGTATACCAGCCAACACCGACACCATGATTTTTTGGAAACAGCTGGGGTGGAGCTGAGTCCGAACGGCATACGCGTGTAGCGAAACACACCTGCATGGGTCACGAAGGCTGTGAGGTTTCTGCTGTCGGGGTGGAGAGGCACTTGTTGGTAGCCCTGTCTGAGATCCAGTTTAGAGAACATGGTTGAGCCATGGAACTGAACAATGAGCTCTTCTGAGGTTGGCAGAGGGAACCTGTCCGGGATCACTGCCTTATTCACCGCTCGCAGGTCAACACACACCCGTAGGGCCCCTGATTTCTTCTGAGCTACCACCAGGTTCGAGACCCAGGGCGACGCATCTACTGGTTCAATAATGCCAACGTCCAGCAGCTGCATAAGCTCAGCTGAGACACCATCACGGAGAGCCAAGGGAATGCGTTTGGAGTGTTAGATGACTGGTTTAATGGCAGGGTTCAGGAGAGGTTGGTGGGCAAAAGCAGT